TCATAAATGACATGCCTGACGTTGTACACTCCTCCATACAAATGTTTGCCGATGACGGCAAGTTATTTCGGGAAATCAAGAACCAAGCGGACTGTGAAGAGTTGCAGAAGGACCTCTGTGGGCTCCAAGAATGGTCGAAGAAATGGCTGCTGAGATTCAATGTCACGAAGTGTAAGAGGATGCACCTGGGGCATGCCAACGGTAAGGAGGCGCATCATATGTCCCAACGGGATGAAGAAACTGCACTAGTTGAGACTGAATGTGAGAAGGACCTAGGTATGTACAGTATGTTGACAATGAGCTGAAGTTCTCGGGCCATTGCGAGAAGAAGGTAAATCAGGCAAATAAATTATTGGGTCTTATAAGAAGGTCGTTCAGATATCTAGACGGTCCGTCCCTCGTAACGATCTTCAAGAGAGAAGTGCTTCCCCATCTGGAGTACTGTCACCCCGTCTGGTCCTTGATATATGTAAGGGATTGTCAGTTGGTTGAAAATGTTCAAAGGAGGGCCACCAGACTGGTGCCTGCACTTCGGCACCTCAACTACCCTGAGGGATTGGAGCGCCCGAACTTGCCTAGCTTATACTACAGACGGGCAAGGGGTGACCTAGTTGAGGTGTATAAGCATCTCAAGGGGCACTACTCAGTCGAGCGTCCTTACTTGGAGCTGGCGGACGCTCGCCCCACAAGGGATCACAGCTCAAGATTGAAGAAGCCGCAAATCCAGAAAACTTTGAGGGCAAACTTTTTCGGAGTGAGGGTTGTAAACTCTTGGAACAATCTACCAGAAAGTGTTGTAACAGCACCGTGTGTGAGCTCTTTCAAGACAAGACTTGACCAACACTGGAGCGGGTTCAGGTACATTCAGGAGCCGGTGCATACCCAGTACTTGCCAACAGTGCGTGACAGAGACGTGACCGATCGCCCAAGCGGCTAACGAGCCGATCAGTGGTGAAGAGGGTAAAAGTAAGGTTCAGGTACACTCAGGGGCCGGTGCATGCCCAGTACCTGCCAACAGTGCGTAACAGAGAGCCAGTACATGACTAGTACTTGCCAACAGTGCGTGACAGAGACGTGACCGGTCGCCCAAGCGGCTAACGAGCCGATCAGTGGTGAAGATAAAAGTATATAAGGGATTCATTAGTCCTAACTTGGAGTACTGCTCTCATATCTGCAGTGGCTCTTCTTCTGCTCAACTGTTAGATAGGGTGGAATCAAAGGCATTTCGTCTAATTAACTCTCCTCCTTTATTTGATTTTCTTTCTTCCCTTTCTCTTCGCCGCAATGTTACTTCACTCTCTCTCTCTCTCTTTTACAGGTACTTTACTTTTACTTTTACTTTTATCCTCTTCGCCACTGATCGGCTTGTTAGCCGCTTGGGCGATCGGTCACGTCTCTTTTCCTTTATATTCTTCACCAAAAGGTCGGCTCGCTAGCCGCCCGGGCGATCGGTCACGTCTCTGTCACGCACTGTTGGCAAATACTGGGCATGCACCGGCTCCTGAATGTACCTGAACCCGCTCCAGTGTTGGTCAAGTCTTCTCTTGAAAGAGCTCACACTCGGTGCCGTCACAACACTCTCTGGTAGATTGTTCCAAGAGTTTACAACCCTCACTCCGAAAAAGTTTGCCCTCACGGTTTTCTGGACTTGCGGCTTCTTCAATCTTGAGCTGTGACCCCTTGTGGGGCGAGCGTCCGCCAGCTCCAAGTAAGGACACTCAACTGAGTAGTGCCCCCTGAGATGCTTATAAACCTCAACTAGGTCCCCCCTTGCCCGTCTGTAGTATAAGCTAGGCAAGTTCAGGCGCTCCAATCTCTCAGGGTAGCTGAGATGCCGAAGTGCAGGCACCAGTTTGGTGGCCCTCCTTTGAACATTTTCAACCAACTGACAGTCCCTAGCATATCTCGGGGACCAGATGGGGTGACAGTACTCCAGATGGGGAAGCACTTCACTCCTGAAGATCGTCACGAGGGACGGACCGTTTAGATATCTGAACGACCTTCTTATAAGACCCAATAATTTATTTGCCTGATTTACCTTCTTCTCACAATGGCCCGAGAACTTCAGCTCATTGTCAACATACACACCTAGGTCCTTCTCACACACAGTCTCAACTAGTACATTTTCTTCATCCCGTTGGGACATATGGATACGCCTCCTTACCGTTGGTACGCCCCAGGTGCATCCTCTTACACTTCGTGACATTGAATCTCAGCAGCCATTCCTTCGACCATTCCTGGAGCCCACAGAGGTCCTTCTGCAGCTCTTCACAGTCCGCTTGGTTCTTAATTTCCCGAAATAACTTGGCGTCATCGGCAAACATTTGTATGGAGGAGTGTACAACGTCAGGCATATCATTTATGAAACAAACAAACAACAGCGGGCCCAATACACTACCCTGTTGTACCCCACTTGTTACAGGTACAGATGACGATTTCGTGCCATTAATCATCACACATTGCTTGCGGTCATGTAGAAAGTCTTCTATCCACGCTAGGACATTTCCCCGAATTCCGTACCCTTCCAGTTTGATTTTCAGCCTTTCGTGGGGTACACTGTCGAAAGCCTTGGCAAAATCTAGGTAAATATTGTCGATATTACCACCCCGTTCTAGAATATGGGTCCAAATATCCAATACCTTGAGCAATTGTGTCAAGCAAGAGCGCCCCGGCATAAAACCGTGTTGGCAATCTTTTACAAGGTTGTTTCGTAGTAGATGTTCCATCGCTGCATCTCTGATAATACTCTCAAGTACTTTACATATTATGCTGGTCAGGCTCACCGGTCTATAGTTGTTCGTGGAGTGCCTATCGCCCTTCTTGAAGATAGGACTCACATAAGCCACTTTCCATTCACTGGGTACCATTTGTTCATCCAGGCATTTACAAAACAGAATCTTCAGGGCAATGTTCGGTGGTTTTTGCATCCTGTGTACTTCCGGCAAGGCCGTGGGCTCGTAGCTCTGGTCTTGCCCGTGGTGCCCACCGTTTCTCTGTGGATGTCGGTCACACTAGAATAACCCGTTATACTCACAGATACTCACAGATGATCTTCTGGAAGAGGCTCACGCCTGTGACTCCAGCTCAATAGCCTCTTCTCTACTCAGACGGTGGCTGTGTGTGGCGGATAATTGTGCCCTAAAATTATATACTTGTTGTTGATTTTTCCATTATTTATCTAATTTTGCTTCAAACTTTTCCACCGTCTTCACATTCACTACCCACTCAGGTAAACTATTCCAGTTGTTGACAATCCTACTCGTGAACGAGTGTCCTCTGAGATTTAGCCTCGCTCTTGTTTTGTAGATCTTTGAGTTCCCCCCGGGTAGTGTCAGCCTCCCTCATGTGGAACATTCCTGCTGTACATGCCTGGTCATAAATGCCACACACTATCTTGTATGTTTCAACTTGGTCCCCACGAGATCTTCTGTACGCTAGTGTCGGTAACTGTAATTTCCTTAGTCTTTCCTCATAAGATAAATCCTTGATCTGTGGTACTAATTTGGTAGCCCTCCTCTGTACATTCTCTACTGCTTCAATATCCTTAATGAGATATGGGCACCAAATTTGATGAGCATACTCAAGGTGTGGCCTAACCAGAGCAGTGTACAGAGCCTTGAATATAGGTGCATCCAGATGAACAAAAGTTCTTCTAATAATGCCCACTATTTTATTAGCCTTGTTGATTTTCTCAGCTAGATGGTCAGAAAACGTCAGCTTATCATCGATGACTACCCCTATATCCTTCTCTACAGTGGTCTTCTTGATCGTGGTGTACATATGATATCCATGGTCAACAACTTTTGTTCTTCCTATCCTCATGTATTTACTTTTTTCTGGGTGAAAGTTCAGCATCCACTTCTCAGTCCAACCCCTGATCCCATCCAGGTCCTCCTGCAGCATGTCACAATCCTCATCTCGTTCTATTTTCCTAAAAATCTTTGTGTCATCCGCATATAGATATACCTCACTGTCGTGTTTAATTGCCTCAGGCAGGTCATTGATAAAAAGGACAAACAGCAGGGGGCTGAGGACAGAACCCTGAGGAGTGAGGGACCCCACTAGTGACCTCTCTCCAGTCAGATACTTCTCCATTTACCACAACCCTCTGTTTTCTCTTAGTTAAAAAATTCCTTATCCAATCAAGATATTTTCCATCAATGCGATAACTAGATACTTTGTTTAATAGTCTTTTGTGGGGTACTCTATCAAAAGCCTTCATGAAGTCACAATACACTATGTCCACAGCCTGACTGTCATCGATAATTTCCGTCCACCTGTCTAGTACCCTAATCAACTGTAGGACTGTTGACCTGCGGGAAATGAAACCAAACTGTTTATTACTAAACAATCCATATTTTTTCATATGGGATATCATCTCTTCCCGTAATATTGACTCCATTAATTTGCAGATTACACTAGTTAGACTGACTGGCCTGTCGTTTCCTGGTTCACTTTTACTTCTCTTCTTATAGATAGCTGTGATATATGCAATACGCCAGTCCTCGGGTATATTTCCTTCTTGAAAAGAGCTTTCAAACAAGATCCTCAGAGGCTGAAGTAGTTCCTCCATCATCTCCTTAATGACTCTTGGATGTAACCCATCTGGACCGGGAGACTTATGTCTTTTCAATTTTTGAATCACCTTTCTTATTTTGCCCTCGGTTATAGTACAACCTTCTTTCCTCACACAGCCAAACTGTGGAATGCTCTGCCCTTTTCTCTGTTTCCATACTCATACAATGTCTCATTTCAAAAAGGTGGGTTTCCGGCATCTTCGTGGTGTAGATTAATATGCTCTTTTTCTTTCCTATTTTTAATTTATTTTTACTCTTATGTTTTCGCCCCCTTGGCTTCGTTGTGGGTCGATGACCTGTGCCCGGGTGGGCTATTCCCCGTAAAAAAAAAGGACTCTTTAGTTTAAAATAAGTAATGTTACCCTGTATATAACTAATATATTTCCTTCGTCCGTCACAACAATGAGCTGACCAATCAGCGTGGCCGTGAGGTGCGGGTAATATTTACAAACTTAAGAAAGACTCCAGAGGCCTGTTGTAAAATATTTCGGCGAATTGTCTCAGTGCGGCGTTTTAAAGGTTAGGTTAACATTTATATTTAAGGTGAGTAAGTGGTAATTTAATTAGGGGATTCGAAGGAATTTGTAGATTCTTACAAGAAAGAAGGGCATACAATATTGGATATGTACTATAAGCAGATATAAGGTTTTGGTGGTTTAAAGTGCTCGGGACGATACTAGCTAATTATATTAATGATTTTTATGAAATACTAGTGTATTATTTCACTTGTCACAAAACGAACCTTGGGAGTTTGGGTAAATTTTCTCTTCTAGCCACTACGAAATGGAAGTTGAAACGGTAAATTTGCACTTCCACCTCCCACTCTGTCAGGGCCGGATTAAGCTTAATAGGGGCTTGAGGCACAGATCAACTTGGGGCCCCGTACCCTCAAGGTATACATAAATAACAGGAACAAAATATACCCAAATTTATCAATGATTTCATCAACATTAAGCTACTGCAAAATAACACATTTAATGTTCATAAGAGACAAAAAATTGAGACGTTGCTAGGACATCGTTGAACGAAATTCATGTTTTATGCGCTTCAACTTTGAGAATGTTTGGATTTGGGGGCCCCTTAGAGTCGGGGGGCCTGAAGCCATTGCCTTAAGTGCCTCATGGTTAATCCGGCACTGCGCTCTGTTAGAAAGTAAAAAATATATTTTTCTAGTGTATTTGTGTGTGTTTAGACCTAATACAACCTTCATTTCCGTCGGAAATTGGCCGTTTTTATATAGATTTTTTTTCGTGGGACGTTTTAAAAAAAAATTAATGGCTAAGCGAATAAAAAATACACCAAAACACACTAGAAAAAAAAAACCCAAACCAAACCTAACCTAACTGACTCTCACCATATGATGGAATTACCTATTTCTTACCTTATTGGGCTGGTTCTTGTTCATCGTTGGATTCTGAGATTCTTACACAACGCCACATATGTTGTTATTTGCGATATTTACATTCAGTCTTGCACTTATGACTTAACTGAGGTTAGAAGAACACTATGTGATCGAAAAAATGCTATAGTTTCTTCGTTTTTTCCCCAAAACTCTCAATCAGCTTCATATCATTGAAGTGACACCCATCCCAGACTTCCATGGTCGGAAATGAATTTGAATTTCGAAATATGAGAGACCCAAAATAAAAATCAATTTTAATTCGGCCAAAAATACCGCGAATTAAGCCACAATTCATTTTAATTGGTTGCAAAAAAAAATCTTGATTGGTCGCGTGACGTGTATCGGAACGCATGTGCGTGATGAATTATGAAGGAGACACGCAGGAGACTTTCAGTGTGAGAGGTGAGGTAGGCGATAATGGCGGAAGGTTAATGGAAGAAAATAGAGAAAATTTTGGATATACTATCTCCGTTATTATACATTTGCGATGGTAATGTAATAGATGAAAATGATCGTATAATTAGACGTCTTATTAGAATATGATAATAGATTAGTGGTAGGATTGTGGAATGTGTAAACACAAAAATACCGTTGAAACTATGTTTTTTTTTGTGGTTTTTGATGTTTTAAACGAATTTGCCCCTCATTTATGGTGAAAATCAATAGTTTTTGAGAGAAGCCCACCTTCCCATCTCAGAATCTAAAGAGATATGGTATAAATATCAGTAAAATTATCGTTTTGGTCATGCACCTATTTGGAGGTAAGTCAAAATTGGGTCAATATTTAGAAAATGACACCAGGCAACTGAATATTGAGTCATATATGGGGAGAGAGAGAAACAAAATAAATGAAAATAATTTATTCTCTAACATTTCTGTCAGAAATTTATAGTTTTCGAGTAAAAAATAAATAAAATAAAATATTTGGCCAATTGGTAATATTGCAGTAAACAGCAACCACAGAATTCCAGAAATTCACTATACCTGTACAGTACTCAATTGATAGAACTATTTTTTTTCTATGATAATTTTCTTATATTACACATCTGACCCAAATTGATAATAAGGAAGTTATTGAATTTTAACAAGAATAAAATCAGAGCACCTATTGCTCCAAAGAAATATTGTAATGGCTATTTATATTCTCGTGGAGGCTGACCGCGCGACTCTGGCTTATTACATAGTGCCTGGAGGTCCAGGGGCGAAGTGCCCAGCTAGGGCCACCAGGGGTTCGGGGGCGAAGCCCCCTGGCTAGGGGGTTAGGTAAGGTTTAGTTTGGTTATATTGTATAAGTTAGCAGGCACAGAGTACCAGGAATTCAGAACACGCAATCGATAGAACTAGTATTTCTACTATTTTTTTTGTTAATAACAGAATTTCTGTTGCATAATGTGTTTTTCTGATGTTTTCTTGTTGCGATTTGTACAATTTTGGAGTTCGCTTCTTCCACAAATCACTGGTTTTGGCTTTCCCCTACCCAGAATCTCGAATTCCTATGCTTTCCCCCATTATTGTTAGAGGGAAGGGGCGGGGGCTAAATCCAAAACGAGTGATTTCTGATAAAAACGAATGTCAGATTTGAACCAATCGCATCAAAAATCTTCAGATTTTTATTTATTTTTCATCAGATTCTTTGGTTGCTATAATCTGCAACTTTACCTGCCAATCGGCGTGAGTGTTGATGTGACCTTATAGTCATGTGCGCCAATCAGCGTGAGTGCTGATGTGATTTAACACTCGTGCGCTAATCAGCATTCACGGCCAGTTGGAAGATGGCGTCTGTGTGAGATGGATGTACATTGGTTGGCTGCTGCATTATACAGCGTATTTTGGACAATGAAGCGGCAGCTGTTGTCATTTTTAGGGCTCATGGTGTTCTTGTCTCATCTGTAAAGTGTCCAAGATGTAATTCAGACTGTCAATAAAGTGTAGATCGCCATGCATAGTACTGTGACGGCCACTTCCTCGTTCAAGTCGCACCACTTTATCCTTTTATATCTCTTACTTAGGGTAAGTTTCTTATGCACTAGGGTTGGATTAGTTAGGTTAGGTTAGGGTTTTTTTTTTTTTTAGGCTTTTACATTGTTTCACCTTCCACCTTTTTTTTCCAATATCTTAACTAAGTGCTCATTTCCGACAACAATGAAGGTCATATTTATATTTCACACAATGATTTACACTATAGAAACCTATTTTTGATATTCAGTTGCCTGGTGTCATTTACTAAATATTGACCCAGAATCGTTCAAAACACATCAAAGCCCATTAGAAAAACATCATTTCAACCTAAACTAACCTACCCTAAACTTAAAATCCTAAAATTCACTACATGACCAAAAAAATAATAATAACTACCTTAAAAATCAAAACTGGCTACCGGGTAGATATTTAGTAGTTTCCACCACCTAATTGACTTTTGAAAATGGGTTTTTATAGTGTAAATCGTCGTGATAAATGAGCAGTAGTTGAGATATTGAAAAAAAAGTGCAAGGTCAAACAGTGTAAAAACCTAAAAAAAAATAAAAAAAACCTAACTTAACCTAGCTTAACCTAAGCTAACCAACCAAACCTAACCCCTGTGTGTAAGAAACTTACCTCAAGTAAGAGATACAGGAGGATCGAGTGATGCGACTTAAATGAGGAAGTGGTGTCTTCGTCAGTGTCTGTCTCTTACCACAGTACCATGCAGGGTGATCTTCACGGTACTGACACTGAATTATATCTCAGACATTTTACAGATGAAACAAGAACACCATGAGCCCTAAAAATGGCAAATGCTGCCTCATTGTCCAAAATGCGCTGTATAATGTGCCAGCCAGGCAATGTGCATCCTTCTCACACAGACGCCATCTTCCAACTGGCCGTGAACGCTGATTAGCGCATAAATATTACGTCACATCGGCACTCACGCTGATTAACATGCACGACTATGACATCACATTAACACTCTCGCTGATTGGCCAAATATTTTAAAATAAAAGTCCAATTTCAGGTAACTCCAAAAATATAAAATTCCGAGGGAAATGTTATAGAATAAATAATTTATAATTTTTTTCTCAATCTCCCCATATATGACTCAATACAGCTACTCCCTGACTTACGACCTACTCGACTTACGACCACCCAGACATACGATCGCCTCAGTAGAACCAAAATTTTATCAAATTACATATTTTCGAGTCCCAACGTTTGTAATTCACTTTAAAATGGCTGGCAAGCTTAAAAGTGAGAGTTTTGTGGTGCTGAGAAGAAAAAGAGACACCCATTTTAGATTTTCTATATTATTTAAGCATTTTTGACTTACGACCATTTCGACTTACAACCTGGATTTGGGTCCCTAACCCCTTCGTAATTCGGGGAGCAGCTTCAATTAGGTGGTGGCAACTACTAAACATTAACTGGCTACTATCCTAAATTGGCTGTAAAAGGTGTTCAAAACACATCAAAACCATCAGAAAAACAGTTTTTGAATCTGGTAAATTTTGCAGTTTCAGTCCCAACTACTGTTCGACCATAAATTTTTGTTTTTCCCATGGCTTTGGTCTGATTCATACGAATTTGACCTTCATTTCATTTGCAAATTAGTGGTTACTGAGTTATCAACCCCCTCCCCACCCCCCCCATCCCCTCCAAACAATCTTGGGGGATCCGTGGTAAATTAGGGATTTTGGGTGGGGGAGAGCAAAACCAGAAGCTAATAATCAGCTAACCCAACCCAACCTAATCTAATCTAATCTAATCTAAACTTAACTAACCTAATGTAACCAAACCTAACATGAACCTGGTAAATTTGCAGTTTGAGTCCCAACTACTGTTCGGCCATAATTTTTTGTTTTTCCCATGGTATTTGGTGTGACTCATACGAATTTGACCTTCATTTCTGTCGCAAATGAGTGGTTATGAGTCCACGGCCTTGCATGTGGTACACAGGATGCAGAATCTACCGAACATTGCCCGTTAAAGAGAGAGAGTGAAGCAGCATTGCGGCGAAGAGAAAGGGAAGAGAGATTATCAACTAAAGGAGGAGAGTTAATAAGACGAAATTCCTTTGATTCCACCCCATCTAACAGTTGGACAGAAGAGGAGCCACCCCAGGTATGAGAGCAGTACTCCAAGT